CTCTCTCTCTCTCTCTCTCTCTCTCTCTCTCTCTCTCTCTCTCTCTGTCTCTCTCTCTCTCATACACAGTAAAGCACAGACTGTCTCTTTAATGCTTCTCTAGAAGAATATAAACTCTGAATTTTCTCATTATTTTCATTGATGGAACAACTCAAATAGAATATAACATTCCTGCCCAGAGTGTATTGGTAACATCAAGCCTGCTACTCTTGTATTTTCCAGTCCTTTCCATCCTGTTTATTATGTAGTCTGCTGCTTCTGGCAGCTGCTGTGATGCCAAACTGAGCAGACATACACTGAGGGATCTAAACCCTCAGCCAATTCCTCTGCGTGTGATTGCAATTTAATTAGCACCCAGCAAGCTGCCTGAGCAGGTGAAGTGATTCTTTGTGGTATTTGCCCCTTTGTGCTGTCAGTGTTGAATTATTCCATAATTTTTCATTACAATAATCTCTTTTCCATCTTGTTACAAGAAGGCCAACAAATGTAAATGCTATTAAGCCTCTATGTGGAGCTGGAGTGTACCTTTTGATGTCGCCTAACATGTATGAAAATGTAGATAATGAAACAGCTCTGGAAGGTAGGATAAATGAGCAGCACTTACAGGGTCAGCATTCCCAAAAGCAGAGTTAATGTGTGGATGGAAGTTTTAATGACGATGGGAGGACAGTCTGCACATGTGAGATGCCTTGTTTTCAGCTCCTTGCTTTTGTAGGTATACATGTGATATGTTATGCATAGATAAATGTTTAACATAAGCAAAAGAAATTTTTAAATATATATGTTTAAACATATATATATGAGCCTGATGGAAGACTCCAGGCATTAGAGCCTTCGCATTGCTGCTGCTCTCCCTTGTCTCCCACACACAGCATGTGTACAATTTCCCTGTTCTCTCCCTTTTCAGATGCAGCCAGTCGGACAGAAGCAGCCTTATGGTGTCACAAAAATTGTTCAGGTCCAATGTCCATCTCAGGTAAAAGGGCTTCCATATTATTTTGAGATTTTATTCACTCTGCAGAATTTCCAAGTTTCCAAATATTATTGTTGTTTTCTGAAATTCTTGGGAATATGCACGTGCCCAAGATATTGTGCTGTTAAAAACTGAGTGTTCTTAAAGTTTATTGACACAGACTCTTTATTTTATACAGATGAAACTGAAAACAAGAACTTTTGAAAAAAAATCAGTTAAATCATCTGTGTCAGGTTTTTTTAATTCAAAGTATACCTAGCTAATCCGAATTTAATAATTGCAGGTATGAGGTGCGTTATCAGTATTAAAACATGTGTCACCAATAAAATTGAATCCATGTATTTTATATAAGCTAGATTTTCTGTGATTTGACTCTGCTGCCAGGTTTACCTATTTTAGTTCCTGGAGCTGTCAATAGTCCAGTAATATCTTCAGGATCTGAGCATCTCAGATTCAAAGAACAGGTTCTTGAATGTTTTTGCATTTAAGATCTGACTTTAATAATTTGGTAATGATAAAATATTACGGGCATCCAAAAGCTTCTAAACAGCAATCAAAACATCAAGGAAATTGAATTATGTGTTTTGTTTGATATTAGGTTTAAGGGAAGAGGTGATGCTGTGCCTAGAGCATACCTAGGGCAAGGCTTCCGACCAGGACTTAACTTTCAGGTCTAACCTGGTTTACTTCACTAATGCAATGTTCATTCAAAAATTAATATTGTAAAGATTATTTTTTCCTCTTTGAAAATGTAGCCAGAATGCTTTAACATCAGCTGACTCTGTTTCTGCTAGTGTTGGTAAACATACTCTCTTCACTCTGCAGGAAAATCCGTATTTGTTTACATATAGAAATAGTAACTATTTATCTTCCCTGAAGACATCAAACGCCAAAGAAACATCTCAGGTACAGTAGGACTGTTTGCATCTGATGGACTGAGTGTATTCCAGGGAATGGGGCAGGTGGGTGAGAGTGTGTTATAGCCTAAATAAACAGTGCTACCTGGGAAAACTAAATACAGAGTTCCAGCTCTTTGTTTCCATGCTTTACTAAATAGTCAGATGCTTAATAGCACATTTTCTCCTTGGTGGGTTTTATAGAGTGTGATTTAAAGTAGATGTGTTCAGCCACCCTAAAGTAAGTAAGTTTTGCCTTCACTGTTAAGAACCTATGTTAAACATCTGCATAATAATGTTATTTTCCCTGGGATAAGAAGATAGTGGAAATGGGGCTGTTTAGTCCTACTGTGGAGGAAACTAGATCAGATCTGACCACTGTGTGGGTCTGATTTAATATCATTTACACTATAGTAAAACTGAAGACCAATGGATTTTTCTTTTTTTTTTTCCCCTGAGATAGTTTCAGATTAGATGTGTGGAGAAAAACAGCCATGATTGTATTTTTTAAGTCGTAGTACTCTGATTCTGACCAGAACTTGGTGTTCCCAAGCAGCTACAGATAATGTTCATTTTAATGCCTCAGAACACAGTGTCTAGACCATATCTGCACTCAAAATGGCCTGTTTGTCATTGGAATTGTAATAAACATTTCTCCTCTCATTTTAACATAATGCCATCTATTTTGTTGGTTGCTTGGGGTATATAGACCTCTCCACAGGGGAACGGTACCTACCACTATGATTTTTGGAAGTAGCTGTAGTGTAGGAGGTGTTGAGGAGGCAAGAAGCAACACTGTTGTGTTTGTGGTTATTTGGTTAGGGGTAGTTAATAAAAAATTAAAACCCCAAACCAGAACAATGGAACAAGACACACAAGTATCTTTTCAAGTTAGCCTATGTAAGGAGTTCTGCTGAGAGATTTGGAGCAAAAACATATCTTTGGGTCTTGTGTGACGGTTTCCTCTGGTATACTGATGGTCAGCCTTCACTAACAGTAGACCTTAGGGGTGTTTCTGTCAATAGGCTGCAACCTAAGAGCCAGGAGGCAAATCCCTGGCCGCACATACAGGGCTGCATACGGAGAAGGCAGGCTCATGACCTGCTGGCAAAGGTACAGTTTTGTGCTGGGATATTCAAACACTTTCTTGCAACAAGATGTTCAGAGTATGGGCACACAAAATGTTGCATAGCTCAGCACAGCATGGCACAGAATTTGAAACAACTGACTGTGCTGTGTTAGTAAGGCCCTACAAGTTCTGAGCAGGCTGAGCTTGTGTCTGCCTTCAAAAAGCACAGACTGAGGACAGGATGAGCTGGATAGTTGTATACAAAGGATGTGGAAATTTCATTAATTTAGTGGTCTGACACATAAATGGTTTATCATGACCGGAGTATAGTGAGACTGATGTGAAATCTTGCCCTGTCTGTCTTTGCAGGAGAGAAGTTATGGAACAAATATTCCCTGTACTGACCGGGATCCCTCTGATACGGTTCCGGTTTCAGGTAAAGTCCTATGATTTTTATCATAGGGCTACTTCATTTGATGATAGAGGGACAACAGGAACTGGGTTCCTGTCCAGTCAGGAGAGAAACTCTTTTCTTTGGAATAGTGGTCTCTGTTGACTGTGGCTTTTAAGATCCTTTTCAGAACAATGTCAGTAGTTGTATAGCAAGATGCAAGTTCTCCCTCAAGGATGGTGAAAGCTTATGCAACTACACTTTCCATGTACAAACAAAGAAGTGACAGTGGAAAAGACAGGAGGCAGTCAAGTCCTTCATTTGCAGAGTGGTAAAACTGTAGGGACTCTTGTTAGTGCACTCTGAGGTGGAAAAAGCCACATGGAGTTCTGTCCTTGAGTCAGTTTTGTATTACCTGAGAATCTGTAATGGTCCCCAAATATCCCTTCTGTGCTGGCACCAGAGCTGTACCTGCTTTTCAGCCATTTTTGCCAGCTAAAAGGAATCTAAGTAACAGCAGATGCAAGACTGAAACCTTTCTGTCTCCTTTGTTACTGTAGCTACGGCCCAGATGTGGTACCAAGAATCATTTCTGGTTTGATGCCTATCAGTTTCTGTGATTCCGAGCTAATACTGTCATTAATATTAAAAATACTGTCTTTACAATGCTTTATTATGCTTATCCTGAGGAAAACTTCTTATAACCATCACAAGTTGAAGTTTTCTTTCTTTCCTCTTTCCCTTACACCCTTTATTTTTAATTTTTAGTTCATAATTTGAAACCGGCAGATATCCAGGTGATTGCTGCACTGGGAGATTCACTCACAGTAAGTAAAGATCACTGGATAACCATCAATAAAACTAGTAATGAAAAAATATTTCTGAATTTTTAACACAGGAAACAGAATACATTCTGTTACACTCTATTGAGCCAAACATGTTTTTCATATCATCTTTTCCATGCTCTGCCTTGGCTGGCTGATAGGTAATCAGATTATGAGTCTAATCTGAGTGCACAGTTCCCAGTTAAAGTCCACAAGAGTGCCACACAAGGAAGAGATGCAAGATTAGATTGTGCAGTGGCAAAACCAGTCTGCTAGAGTGGACTTAACAACAACTGCTCTCGTTTATTGATTCTAGGAGTCTCCCAAGGTATTGGTCTTGAAACCTGTTAGTAAGCAGCATGAACAGAAAGAAAAAGTTCTGCAGCTACTTGTGTATATCTGTGTATGTTTATGATGTGATAAATATTTATGTGATAATACCAAAACCTATAAAGCCATAGTAATTTATGCTAACTAAGTATTTGAGTAAAATTGCATTAGAACATCAGGTGTGTCAAGTGTAACTTACCTCGAGATTTTTTTTTAAAGATTTTTCCTGGAACTATGTAAACTTTTTACCCCTAGACTGGATGTGATTCTCCAATTAGTAATGACTGCTTCTCTGCTTATATTATAATTCATGTTTCTTATGTGTTCTGTGCTAATTATCACATTAAATCTATGTAGTCTTCTTTCTTGGGGAAACTGGGAGAGGGAAGACGTAAAATCACTGTACCACTTTTTATTGTGAGGAACATTTAATAAATTATTCATTTAGAACCGTTGCTATCTTATTTTTTCCTTATGTAAGTTTAGAATTATATGAATATTTTGAACATTCTCTACCAATTTTTCCCCACTTGATCTAATCACAAAGTTGATAGAAGAGAGTAATTCACTGAAATTGAGTGAATAAAATACCCTCAGCCCTTGATCTTGAAAACAAGGGTCTGTTCTATTTTGGGAGGATGATGTAGCTTGCTTGGTTAATATGCTTTTTAATTCTTTTCACTACGATCAGTGAGAGAGAGAGTTACTGTAGCAAAGTTTATTTTCTGAAGGTGAACTCCTCTTCTGCTTCCAGGCAGCTAATGGGGCAGCATCCAAACCTCACGATGTTCTGAATGTCCTGGTTCAGTACCGAGGTCTTTCTTGGAGGTGAGTCACAGGAATTTTCCCCTAGTGGGAGGGAATCCGTTTTCTTATGGTTTGATTTGTATAGTTGGTTTTTGTACCAAATGGAGGCTTGCAGAGAGTGAATTTGACTTCATATTTTGTGTGGAGACACAGGGCTGTGCTGTTAGTCATGATAAATAAAATATTCAAACTAGTGGCTATCTAGAGTACAATGTAGCATGGCTGGAGTAGACTTGGGATCTTTGTTAAGATGGTCTTTTCTCCTCTCAGGATTGTAGCTATTGCAAAGGGGACTTTAGACCCCAATGCCATTGCCCCACTTGCTCATTCTGTGTTTCTGTCCCTGCTCTTTCTATATCCTGTCTGCTCTTGCCCAGTGTGGCCCACAGCACCCATTTGTCTCATTTAAAATTAGTGGTCTACAAAAAGCCGAATGTGATCTTTTTTTGCTGTTGCTGCTTTGTACACAGTATTTATTTCCTTGACCCTTTCCCAGTATTGCTTACATTATGCGGGACAGTTTAATTATGAGTCAATACTTTTGCTTTTATGAGTCAAAGACTTTTACATAAGCAGCATGTTGTTAGACATGTCAAAAAGACACCCTGAAGAAGGGCAATCATGTTCATTTGTTATTCTGCAACTGTAAGATTTAACACCAAACCTATCAGGCTGTTTTCTGTTCGTCATTTCTTACAAACCTAAACCAATGCAGCCCTAGAAATTTAAACAGTGACCTTAAAGATCATCTTGTTCCAACCCTCATGCCATTGACAGGGACAGTTTCCATGAGACCGGGTTGCCCAGAGCCCCATCCAACCTGGCCTTAAACACTTCCAGCGATTGTTCTAGTGCACTTCAAAATATTCTATTTCAGATTAAAGGGATACTATAGAGGTGTTCTAAGTAAAACATTGTATATTTTGATCTTTAATAATAATATACTGAAATTTTGGGGGAAAAAATGTGTACTAGTATATTCTATTCTACAGCATGAAGGAGAGCAAAGAGCACAAAGACCTAATGGTGAATATTACCAGTTTAGTAGTATTTTTCCAGTTGAGTCAAATGGGGGCAAGGGGAGGCAAAGGTATTGATTATACTTATCACTTTGAAATATATGCTACCAGAACTTTTTGTTATGGACACAAAGGTTTTGTTAACTGAAAGTAGAAGTAATCAATATTTTAATAGGTACAACAACAGCAAAGACAGCAGTTTTTAAAAAAATAAATAAATAATTTCTTTCAGCTAGGTTTGAACATATGCCAAAATACGTGAAAGAGCTGAGAGGACAGCTAGTGTACAGGGCTGCTAATATGATTGTCATGATGATGACAGTGTCTCTGATGTCTCTGGTGTCCTGACCCCCTGGGTACGCACACCAGGAGCTGCTTCGGCTTAGCACAACCACGAGAGTGTGCTGTGTACATGTGCAGAACCCCCAAAAGGGGGCGATCTCTTACCTAGCCCACTGCCTTACCGAGTCCATCCTACCTTGGAACTCTTTTTTCCTGCTCTTTTTAACAGTGTTGGAGGAAATGAAAACATAAGCACGGTCACGACACTAGCAAGTAAGTGACTTTCTCCATAAATTTGATAAATATCTGGAGCTGTTTATTATTAAAACACCTGCTATTATAAAAGGAGACACAGGAAAGAGTTACAATTTGTAGCATGACACAACCAATCCCTTTGTGTTTAATGTCCAGTGCTGAGTAAAAGTTGCATAACAACCAGGCTATAATATGCTGTGCATGACTTAACTATGTATTTTGTAATTCCTAGGGTTTGGTTGCTTCAGTATTCTTCTGTCTAATATATATTTGGGGTCAATGAATCAAAAAACTTAGCGCATAGCCTAAAGAAACTATTTTGACTGTATGGGAAAGTTGTTTCAGGCAGGAGCAGAATCACATTACAAGATCAGATTTTACATGCTTTTTAAAGGTCAGGACATTTTAGATCGGAGGTGTTTGTAAGGCTGGTTTGTAACCTAAGATCTAGAAGGGAATCTGGGGTCTTTGGGGTTAATACATCTGGGGAGATTGGGCTAAGGGATTTGATTCCAAACCATGTGCAGTTAGAGCATGATGGCATGAGAACCTCCTGCTTGAGTGTAGGGTTACTCAGCCTCACTTACCAGGCAAAATGGCATTGCTAGCCAAGATGATCGTGTTTGGTGATCAGATATCTGAATTCATGAAATTCAGAGATCTTGAAGGCTGGGAAACAGTCGTATGGTGATGAATCTCCATGTTTGTTATGCTTAAAGATGTCTGGGTGGTTTTTTAAGGTTTCTCCTAAAGCTTTTTAATGGTCTTTTGCTAAGGTGTAATCTTTATAGCCTCATTTGCTACCTGCTGCAGGAAGCAACATTGCAGGGTGCTGTCTTTTTCTGCAGATATTCTTCGTGAGTTCAACCCATCCTTGGTAGGGTATTCCACTGGCACTGGAACGCAGGATTCAGAAAATGCTGCGCTCAACCAAGCTGTGACAGGGGCTCGTGCAGAGTAAGAGGAAAACTCTTTTAACTTTACTAGGAATTGGATTTTTTTTTCTGTAAAACTCTTTTGTGACTAAAAAGGGCCCAAATCCTGGACTTTGGCAGGAGCACAATAACTCAGATAGGCAAACCCAAAGAGGTTTCTTTAGCCCAGCTCTAGCATGAAGGCCAAGAAATGTGATGAGCACTTTGCAGTGTTTCTAATCTATGTCAAATAAATTAGCAACAAAAGCAATACTTTCTCCAGTATTTTCAACCAAGAAAGCCAAAGCACTTTACAAGCACTGATCATTAAGCTTCACATCCCTGTCCTGTTATGAGTCAAAGATATCCCCATTCTATAGGAGGTATATTCAAATGCTTTTGTCAGCAGGACCAAGAGTTTGTATAGAGACACTAAGAAAAAACTGTGGATTGTTAAACTCCTGGTCTGGCAGAGCTGGGAATTAACTAGAGATCACTATGCTCAGTCCTCAGTGCAATTTTTATTCTATTTTTTTTCCATTGGAAATGTTTCTTATAAGACAAATTTCAGTGGCTTGAGGCCTTATAATAACACTGATATATGCACAGATATTTCAGTGATATGTGTACTGTCTGATGTTGGGAAGGAGAAAAGTGCATTTCCTGTATAGCTTGTAAAAGTGTAACTATGCAGCATTTGCAAAGTGGTCGAGTGCCTGTTGGATACTAATTATTTTATCTTTTTTTTTTCTTTTCCCATCACTGTCTCAAAATATAGCCTATTTTGGGTATCATATATTTCAGTCAATGAGAATTCAACTTTCTCCTTGCCTTGCTGTCTATGCAGGATTCCTTTTTTATTTTCATTATTTTACTTTTGTGATTTTACTTTTATTTTTAGGAATGTTCCTCAACAGGTTAGAAAACTGGTGGACCGCATGAAGAACGATACTGTGAGTTTAACATGTCATTAATATCTTTATAATGAAGTTACATGGCTTCATGATTTCTAACAGACCAACAGCAGATGCCAACAGTGAATGCCAAACATTAAAGCTGTAGGTACAGCAGTGTACAGTGTAATTCTTCCCAGTACAGAGTGTGAGTCAGCACAGAATAAGCTATAACTTTCTCTTAAATGAATTTGTACCAGCATGTGATAGTTACTATCAAACACAGCTAATTGTAACCTTCTTATCATTTTTACTGGAAGTGGCTATAAATTCAGTGCTGTTTGCTTCCCCTCCCAACCTATGTCACACTGTCAGATGATAGAGCTTTTTCTCTGTGAGGATTTTGCTGTGTTGCTATTAATTATCTTGTAAGCAGATGGTTTTACCAGCAATCATGATATATGCTAGGATGTTGAGGGCAAGCTTTTCAAGTAGCAAATCATGTGGAGTGAACATGTGAAGTGAGGAAGGGACTTGTTTTCTTTAAAAATATTTTAGTCCCTTCTTCCATCTAGTCATCAGCTGATTTTTGACTTACATATTTGTTGTTAGGAATTATTTGATTAATGGTCTGTAAAACATACATTAAGCTGAGGATTGCTTGCATATTTTTCACCTCAGCTTGTGTTTGAATGTTTGCTATTTGTAATTTGACAAATGTGCTATGCAATCACTGACCTAAGTTACATTATAATAGTTTGGCTTTCCAATTGTGCATTTGGAAAGCAGCCAAAAAGCCTTCAAGATAACTCTGTGTGCGTGTCTAGTGTAAATACTCTGGTGCATACATATTGGCAAAAATATTTGCAGTACCTTCCTTTTCGGTTCACTTTCTTGTAAACAAGATTTCGATCTGACGGCTGTATCTGAAATGAGATTAAAAGGAATAGCAACTAACAATGAAGAGTTGGATGGTTTTCATTCTAACCACTCACGGCCTCTAAGCACTATTCTGTCATATTTATCAGCCTGAGAATGTTATACAACAGAAATCAATGCAAATACCTTTAATTTAAATAGTAAACATTTTTATTTAACTAATAAACTTCTTTCTGGTAGAGGTCATATACCTTTGATTTAAGACCTCCTTTTTTATCCACTCTTTTTAGAACATCTGTTTTTTAAAAGGAGGAAAATTTTTCCCTCTTGTAATTTGGATAAGTACGTTTTGACACCAAACTACTGAACAGCATGTTTACTAGCTGGGATATGTTGCCTCCTGAGTTTGAAGAAGGATGTTTTTAAACTATTTGAGGCTGATGTGCTATTGCTGCTTTTTTACTACTGTTTTGCAGTGAAATTAAAGCATTAGGATACTGAGCACAACCACCACTACATGGTACTAAGCATAGCTGAACCTTTCCTCGAAGCTAAGAAGGTGTTTATTTACAGTAGCATAATTACCTTGATTTAGTTATCTATCCCTTTGCAAAATCTGTCCAGGAGAAAAAAGTGCTGTAATTTTTTACCATTACTGTTAGATAGAGTTAATATTGTCCCACTATTCTTTGCAGTTTGTCTCACAGCAAGACTGAAATATATTGTCCTCCAGGGTTTTCCAGCAGGATAGCTGCATTATTTATGACACAGTAAACCACATACCATAATTTTTGCAGTGAAGATATATTTCTAGAACTGCAGGAAGAGTCACTCTGTATACACAAGATATTACTAAGAAAAGCATATAGACAGATTTTGAGCAACAGTTTTCTGAAGCAAATAATTTTACATGATGCCACTGATATTGTAAACCTGGTTTAGATCATAGTACTTGGTACATCTTCAGTCATGACGACCAACTTGTTTTTATTCTGGATGCTTAGAGGATGATAGCCAGGTACCCTGAGAAATGGGAAAAAAATTGTATTTAGTGTTGCCTGCCTCTTCCTTCTTTTCTTTTTTTTTTAATTAATAACTTTCATTCCATCTCCTTCTGTGTGCAGAGAATAAATTTTCAGACTGACTGGAAGCTCATAACACTTTTCATAGGAGGAAATAACCTATGTGGATTCTGCGAGGATCCAGTAAGTTCCCTGCTGCCTGCAGCATGAACTAGGCATAGGATTTTTATGCATTGCAGGGGTGACACGGAGGAACTCAGTGGATGAGACCAAAATAACATAAGTCTTGATTGTGCAGCTCTGGAATGTAATTGTACTGAGACCTTCAGATTGTCCAACCCAATGTTTTGATAAAGTTAGCGATATCTTTAGAACGCCTGTAAATGACATAATTGTTGCTACTTTGTTTTGCTGTTAACTAAGGTTAACTTTTTGTTGCATAGCCACTTTACTTCCTGTGGATAAAAAGTTAACAGTTTTTGTTCCTCTGTGCCTCGTGCACAGTCACACTCCTAAGTCTTACTTGATGCTCTCTTACCATTTTCAGTACTATGGGAAACATTCTAACCACAGCTTATGCTAATGTAATTATATATAATATAGTATATATTGTATATGTATATAATATACATACTGTATCTAACCTTTGATACGTGTGATTACAGAGGAGGTGAAAGGCTGTGGCAGACTCCTCACTTAGGGATGAAGGTTACCTACCTACAAGCAGTTGAGCACATACTTTTCATTTTGCATGATTAATTTCAAATCAGGAAAAACAGCAAAGCAGCACAGTAAGATGGTTGTAAAACAAGGAGGGAGCAAACATTCCTACCTTCTGCTCCTGACCCAAGCACAAAATGGCAGTTGCACATAACTGAGGTGGATGGCAAGAGATAACGTCTCCATCCAAAGATCACACTGACCTTTATGTTGCACAAGTACAAATAGTACCAACCACAATGCTCTTGGTGAGCTGTGGTTTAGGAAATGAATAAGGGATCTGAGCTGTCTAGTTCCGTAGAGTTGGCAAGTGGGGCTCTCAAGGAACTTCTCCTTGAAATTAAATGAGAGAGAAGTAAGGCTGACAATCAGACAAGTGTTTCTCATAAGAAAGTTTATTTGACTGTTGAATAGTTCCTCAAAAGACAAAAATAAACGTTGGATTACCTGAGACAATAAAATTAGAGGGCTTAAACCACTAAAATGGAACAAGGAAATTTTGGCAATGAAAGTATATGAAGTCATTTCATTCTCAGATAAACACCTAAGTTTTGCCAGTTGCTATTTGTAGGAGGCAAGGAGCATATGGGAAACGTGTTCTTATATTCCACATAGCAGAAGCAAACTTACTTTTACATGGAGTGTTGTCTCCAAAATATGGTCCCTATTAGTGAGTTGATAGCCATGCTTTTAAGACCAGCCTAAGCAAGCCTGGGAATTGAGGATGTTGTGATATCTGATAATATCCCCTGAATTTTCACCCTCACTGGTATCCAGTGACTGCTAGATCTTTTCTTCCAAGTGAGAGAGCTGTGATGGGAAGGAAGAAAAGCAGAGGCAGGACAGTTTTGCCTATGACTCTGTTGACCCAAGAGTTAGAAACATCAACGCTGCTGTGAGAGACTCTAGCTAGTCACTGTTGTGCCTATCTCCGTAAACTGGTAATAAAATTCAATCCTCTTGCTTCAACAGGCTCACCATTCTCCTGAAAACTACTCCTATAATCTACAAATAGCTTTGGACTTACTTCACAAAGAGGTAAATCAAACTTTTCTAGTATGTGGGAGCAGGAGTCGTGTTCTGTTTCCAAAGCAGTCACTGATTATTGATTAAGAATTTGTTTTTCTGGTTTCATCTGCAGAGCACTGCTGTATGCAGAGGTGCTTGCTTGCAGGAAAATCTTCATGAAAGGCAAAAAAGACTGGAGAAGTATTTTACCAAAAATATTTACAAAGGCTGGAGAAGTATTTGGTTCTAGCTGATGTGCTGTGGATAAGTAATGTAAAAAGTATTGTAAAAAAAGTATTGTAAAAAAAAGTATTGTAAAAAAGTTGAACAAACGTTATTCATTGACTAGAAAATGCTTTGCTTGTTCATTAAACTGCAAATAAATATGGTTTTGTGGTCATTAAGAGAGAGATTTTGATATTCCACATAAAGGTAAGAATGATGAGAGTACCTGAAGAATTTGCAGGTGTCTGAGTCATACTGAGACCTACAACAACTTGTTTGACCCTTTTCGAAGCTGTCATTTTCAAGTGACCAGCCATCAACATTTAAAATAGAACTAGGTAGTGCAGGCAGGGGCTGTAATTTAGTATTGCATGTGTGGGGGATTAATTATTGAGAAAGTACTTTTGGACACCTCTGTTATAAATAATGGAAGCTGCTTGAATCAGCAGGCTGCTGCCCAAGGTTTGCTGTGGCTGTGCAGGGGCAAAGGCAGCACTCTGTGCTCCAGGAGTTTGCTCTGAGTTTGCTTATTCTCTTGGCAGGTTCCACGGGCATATGTGAACCTGGTGACGATACTACCCATTGCAAGCCTCCGGGAGCTGCACGCCTTGAAAAACAATAGCTGCCCAAAGCTACTTATGAGGTTTGAAGACTGTTTATGTTGCAGCTCTCATTTTTGCTCACAGAAGGCTGCAAGGTCTTCTTGGGAAACTTTTTTCTTAAAGGGAAAAGGTTCTAGTATTTCAGACCACCAAACACCTTCCTCTGTGCATGTGCATGTACCTACATTTTTATTTCAACACAGCACTTAGAAATACTTGTCTGCCTGTCACTGTCTCTGTGTCTGAGCCCTGCTGTTAACACTTTTAGTGGAGGTACCATTTTAATGACTCACCACTTACCCTGCAAGTGAGTTCAAACCAGAGCAGAAAGAGCTCAACTGTGCACTCTTTGGCAAAGATAGAGAAGACACTAAGACACAAGGTTTTCTTGTTTTATTTGCAGATTTACCTTTCTGCAGTCTTAAAACTCTCCCTCTTGCTTCTGTAGTTTTCAATCTCTGTAATCTCATTGCTGATTATTAGTTTTATTGCTAATTAGTCTCTCAAGTAGATGTCGGGGATACTTAATCGTTTGTAGTTTTGCTTTTTAGCAAAAGCTCCTGGCTAGAGCACACAAGTATCTGAGGACCCTAATCATTGGACAAGGGTAGTTAGTGGAGCCTTTAATATTAGATTATCTCACAATAATTGTAACCTTTCCACATCATTTCAGGTGCCATGCTGAATTTAACATTTGTTTGTCTGGCAGCAAGCTGAATTTACAGGGTAATAAGCAGACCCTGTGTGGGATGATAAACGCCATTCTATCAAGTTGGAAAAGGACCTGAAGGAGGCTTTTGATCTTGAAAGCTTGTTTCTTTTTCTCTGAGAGTAGCAAATAGCCTAAACAGAAACTATGTATGTCTCTGATAATTTTACCTTGCTTATGTTACTGAAACTTCTGAAAACACAATTTAGATTTGTATCACCTTTCATATGGATGTACTGTGGAAGTTAAATCTTTTGTTAGTTGCTCTCCATTAAAACAAGTTTGGAGGTAGTAGGGATCTGTGTATACTTTACATGTATTAACTGCATCTCTATAGAAGATATTTCTCTAAGAGCTCTCTCAGGGATGCTTTACTGTAGTCATATGTCAGGACTTTTTAAAGGAGTCCTTTTTCTCAATTGAATTTCTCAAGTAGTAATGAGGGATGCCCAGGAAGAGCAAGAAAAATGTTCATGTGCTAGAAAGTTAAAAATTTCAGGGAGGGATAAAGGTGGCCAATACGAGTGCGCAGAACCTTAAAATTGTTCAAGTCAGAATAGCTCTGTAAGGATGGAGATTCCAGCATCAGTCTTGGTGACTCGCCATGAAACATCCTGTTATACCTGACTCTCTCAGTTGATTAGAATGTATTCGTGAGAATTCAGTCTTGAAGGATGCTTGCATAGTTCTGCTGAAGCAAACCGTGTTGTGCAGCTATACCTATGAACAGTTTTTGTGGTGGGTTCGCCCCAAATGCCAGCCAAGAGCTCAACACAGCCCCTCAATCACCCCATTCCCGCAGCATGAGGGAGAAGACAAGGATTGTGAGCTAGAAAATTCATGAGTCACACTAAAGACAAGTAAGCCACTTACCAAGTATCATCAGAGGCAAAACAGACCTGATTTGGAGAACTTAATTGTAGTTATTGTCCATGATTATAAATGTTTATTTACCAATTCAGGTATTGGGAAATAAACAAACGAGTTAGATGATTAAAGCTCCTATCCTTCCTCTTTCTCAGGTTCAGCTTTGTTACAAGCACTTCTCCCTCCACCCTTGTTACTGCCGTAGGGTACCCTCAGTCCCTTCAGTGAGGCATGGGTAGCCAGGGGCTTGGGATCTGGATCTGGTATCTCTCTGCCACTCCTTCCTGCTCACTCTTGTCCTGTGCTCTGAAATGAATCCTTCAGAGGTGTGTGTCCACAAGTTGTGGTTCCTTCCAGGAGTGCCTGCTCTGCCATGGAGCACTTCCTCCTCACCTCTGCTGTTCTCTCCTCCTCTCCCTCTCTGGTGTTTTCTGCCATTTCTTAAGCAGATTTTTACAGAGGCACCACCATCTTGGCTGAGAGGCTCAGCCATGCCCTGTGGTTGGTTTGTTGAAGCTGTGTCCAGCAGTCAGTGCTGGCCTCTCCTCACAGAGGTCACTCCTCATGTTGAAACCTTGCCGTGGATACCCAGTACAGTTTTTGCTTTGGAGACTTTTCCTCTCTTTATCTTCATTAATTTGTCATTAATAAATGTGTTTCTGCTCAAGAACTGGGACTGTGCAGTAACTCTAATGAGATCTAATATTCTCATTGAGTGGCCTTTCAGTGAAATCCCTCTCAGAGCTTTTAATCCTGTAGCTTGTCAGCTTGGGAAGAGGGGGGGAAAAAGAAGAGCAGATCTCAGCACCATGCTCTTATCCCACAGGATCCTGTGCCCTTGTGTCATAACCCCTGAGGACAACTCCAATGAGTTAAAGAAGTTGATCTACTCTAATGGAAGGTATCAGGTAAGGCACATGGCATTTGTTACAAGTTCAGTGTCATCCTCCCATTGGCCAAGGAACCACAGATGGGCTAATATTTGGAAGTGGAGGACAGTTGCCTCTCATTTTAATGATATATTTGTAGTTGTGATTAAAAAAAAAAAGAGAGGGAAATAGGAGTAGGCTCAAAATCTTTGCAACTCTATTACCCTAAACCAACAAAACAGCTGAAAAGAAAGCCATAGAAAGCCTTTACAGAGCCATAGAAAGTAGAGTATGTCAAAGAGTGAGCAGTTTTTTTATCATTTATGTTATTGGAGATCAGATGAAGTCAAACAACATGTTAACTCAGGAACAAGCTTTCAGACATGGCATGTCAGGCAAACCAAAAATGCTTTGGTGGTTCTGGAAGATCTTTTTGACAGAAAACCTAATTACTGAGCAGGCTGCCAGTCCTTGTCAGCCAGTCAGCCATTCCTGGGCTGTCTCTCTGCAAAGAAGCCCAGGGTGCATGTCAAAAAAAGACAGCTGCATTGACTGCCTGGGGCAAGCCAGAAACTGTGGCTACATCTGAGAGTGGGAACTCCTGGGTGAGATGTAAATGGATGGAATGACTTGATGAGATGAACATAGAAAAAGGAATGATGACAACTTTTCTTTGACTCTTTAGGAGAGAACCCGCCAGTTAGTGGAGAGTGGAAGGTATGACACTAAGGATGATTTCACAGTGGTTATGCAGCCATTTATGACTAATATGGACATACCAAGAACACAGGTAAAACCAACCAAAAATACACACCCAAAATTAAATCCTGGTGCAATTCCTCTGAGTTGTCAAAATTGTTTTAGCAGGTTTTTTACCTAATAATAATTATTACATTCAGTTAACATTCGAAATTGCAGAAAATGTTTATGGAATAATGGAGATAAAGGGCAACAGGAATAGAGACCTTACAGACACAATTTGGGGCACTGCAATTTAGTTCAAAGTTTTCATCGGGGAGTACTTGCTCTATATTCCCTATGCATCAGCAAGTCCTTTCCAGTACTTTGATAAATGACTTTTGGTAGGAAAACCCACATGTTTCAAAACAGTGTAATGTGTGATTCTCAAGGAAAGTAAAGAATACAATCAATATCTGTGCCTAGGTATTCTGTACTCGGAGCCACAGTGATCTGTATTCCTTATTACTTTGGAAATCCTATATTAAAAAGCTTTAAAAGGCTTCTTAGTTCTGAGATACTAATGTTCTTAGGCCTGGTTTAATTCTCTTGGCCTCAGAGGCCTTTGCAGCTACTTTGATTAGAAGTCAGCTGGGATATCTCGCTGAAAGAGAGAGGGCATAATGCACAGCTTGTTGCATATTTACTGTCTCTGTGACAGCACCCATCTTATTCTCTAGGAGGGGTGGCCGGATGATTCATATTTTGCCCCAGATTGTTTCCACTTCAGCCAGAAGACTCATTCCCAGGCTGCACGTGCTTTGTGGAACAACATGGTAAGATTTTTAAAGGTTGTGTTGGTCTCGCCTTGTTTACTCCATCCTGCCCTTGGCAGCAAAACAACCCCCAGGGAGCTGCTAGGTAACTAGCCATTTCTCTTCTGAATTGTGTTTACAAAGGCAAAGAGTGATCATATGAAGAAAGGTCACCTGAATTGTTAAACCAGTCATATCAAACCAGTAAATCTCGGGGTATGTTAAGGGTGTGGGGTGTTGGGACTTCCCTCAGGGAGATGGTGCCTGTCAGGCACATTGATCAGCAGGTCACATTCATGGTATATGGGAATTAGCCCTTTCAGCACTCAAATAAGCAGTGCATGGAGACAGCTGCCAGCATTGGTGCAGTGCACTGCAATGATCTTGCTGTGCTGCAGAAGTGGTTTCCAGTGGTTGCTCTCTGATACTCATCTGCTTTTCTTCTGTGCACCCTGCTTTTTCCCACAGATGGAGCCCTTAGGGGAGAAGACAGATAATCAGCGCATAGAGGATGAGATTGTTCTCAAATGTCCAAATGCAGTAAGTTATGAGGGTGTCTGTGTTTATATGGGGGTGCTAGGGGTGGCCGGGAATCTGTGTGCGCCTTTACCAACTGCCTGGAGTGCTGTCTCTGTGAGCAGGCTCTGCTCTTCCCCGTATAGTTTGTGCCACTGCCACCAAGAGCAGTATGAACACTCCCCCATGAGTTGGAGGGCAAGCTCATCCCGGGAGTAAGCTTCTTCACAGTCACACATCACAGTTAGCCAAAACACAAGGGAATAGTGTTTGGCCTACCTAGCCAAGATTGTTAAGTATCCACACTGACTGACAGAGCTTCAGTGGGGGGAATGGAGCAATGATGACACCAGTCAGCACGGCTCTGTAGATGTCACTGGGGCTGCTTTGCAGTGGGACCAGAAGCTTCTTGTTAACCACACACAGAAGGGTCCTGCGCAAATTCTCTAATTTCTGACTGTATAAAAATATAGCCTTAGGTTTATCCTGTTGTTACAAGGATTTTTAAAAGGCCATTTCTTTTTTTTTTTTTTTTTAAATCCCTGAGATTTATTTGCACCAAGCTACTAATCATATACGGACATCTGAGAATTGAAGTTTGGAGAATGGAAATGTCCATGCATCTCTGATGCTTTGGATTAACTCAGATTGCCTTGTTTTGTAGGCTGTGCCGTTCCTGAGGACGTATAAGAACAGTAATTACACATACCCTAACCAAACTCCAGTAAGTGCCAACATCACCATCTCACTGTTACTGTGCTGCATCTGTTCCTGTATGGTAACCAAATGAGTCATGTTCTGCAGCACAGGTGAAATCAGTCTTTGGCCGAAGGGGCTTGGGAGGCTGAGTGGATGGTGCAGAAGAAGGACGCACTCCCTGAGTTAGACAAAAAAAATGCATCCAGAAACTCCTGTAAGAACACATGCTCAGACAGCAGTTATCACTTATCAGTCCAGGATGCTATGCTGTTCTGAGCAACAATGAATATGACTATTGAATTGAGCAACCAAGACCTGTCTAGTTAATTACATGCTAAAGAGGCTCTGGTTTATCCACTCGGCCTCTGCTGGGAAGATACTAGTTAGTACTGACTGTATTTGCTAGCCAAATGCTATTCAGCTTTCTTCTCCTCTTTAGAATTATGGAAGCCAGCTGCCATGTGAGGACAGGTCCCCATCCTCCCCTCCTGCAACTTCAGGTAGTCTTGCCTGTTTTATGTTAAGAGATTGAATTACTTCCAACTGTTCTTCAAGATGAGCGTTAATTTTTGCTGAAATGACTGCTGGACTGTGAAGAACACTGCTCAGAAAGGATATGATGTTTTTCAGCAGCTACTTAACAGATACAATGCCATGCTGTCACGTAAGGTAGCTCTCTGACTAAGTAGCTCTACTGAACTCACAGCCAGTAGAGAACTTCAAAGTATCTTGTGTTAAAACCAAAATTTGAGTGCTGACATAGCCTATAAGTGATACCACCTAAATCTCATGGAAAGAGATTTAGGCTGTAAATCCAGCTTCATGCATGTTAGTGCAGTATTCAGTTTTTGAAATAACTTCATATTGTCTTCTCTTTAGTCCTCTTATGTCTTCTTGCAACTTTAATATACTATTCCTGCGTTGTGTAATTCTGCGTTATTTTACTGTCACCTTGGTGCTGGATGTTGTTTGCCACTTATTGTTATTTGCTCCTCGCTCTTCTGTCTTTTCAGTAGAAATGTTAACCATTGACATATTGAATAATATGCATATGTTGCTGCTACAATCACATGAGATGAGCTGGAAAGGGCTCCTGATTTATCACTTGGGTATTGCAAAAACAACATGACAGAGCATCACAAGGCACAATGGCATATTTCGCAACACAAAGTAGTGAAAAAGAATAGCTATTTCCTATCCAGGTTCAACTGCATCTCTTTCCTTTGCAGTGCATTCCCTAAAGCCAGCTGATGTGAAAATTATAGCAGCCCTTGGGGATTCTTTGACGGTAAGAAGATAGTGTTTTTACTGTTCCCTTGCTAAAACTACAAACACGTGCCTGCTCTGGTGGAGAGGAAATAGCTGTTATACCTATAAGCAAAGATCAGTTCATTCATGGATGACAATAAATCTAGCAGCTAGAACAAGAAAGAAGGTGTCAGCCTTCCAGCACTCTATTGCCCCCCCCCACATATTCACATGCTTTTGAACTTAGGTTAAGACACACACAAATCCTTTGAAGAGGTGCCTATGTAGTTTGCTGAATTGGAAACAGAAGAGATCAGATGCTGTTGAAACTAATGGGACATAACACAAGGCTTAGATTACTGTTCTTTTCAAAGACTTTTCTAAATAGGAATGGACTGATGAACCTCTTCTTCTCCCTCTGTTCTTTCAGGAACAGAATGCAGCTAAGGGGTGTTGAATAATAGCATTTTATTTATTTGAACATTAATGAGTTAAGGATGTATGGAGTGAGAGCCCTCTGACTTGATGCATTTCAGAAGATACTCAGTCTGATTTTCTTTATCAAGATGTAGTTCTTACTGATGATGATTATTTTTGGTAACCAGGAAGGAATATGTCTCAAAATCCAGACGTTCTATGTTCCAGTTATGTCTTTCTGTCTAATGTTTTCATACTGGTCAAGGACTGAAATTCTACAGCCGGGTTAAAGGAAACATTGGACAGAAAGATACAATTGGAACATAGGTTTCTCTGAATCTGAGTCTTAACAACAAAGACATTGTTTGTATAAACCATTAAGCCTTTACAACAATCTGGCAGACATGTTGTCACAACTCCTATGCACAGGAAGCTACTGAAATAAATAGAAGCACTTGAATGGAAACCTGCAATATCAACAAATGAAAGATATTCCATATACGGTTGTGGTTGCCATATTGTAATATCCAGAACCCTGCAGGTGTTTCTGCTTCTAAGTATAGTCTATAGGAACTGGGAATAAAATCTGCTTTCATAGAATGTGCAATGATGTATTGCTGTCTGAGAGCTGCATTTGGCCTGTGTGTGGTTATTCTGGTCACCAATATTCTGTTAACTCAATAAAGCTTATATATATATAAGAAAATGTAATAGTATGGTTTAATCTGAGGTAGTAGCAAATAGTCTACCTGGTCTTGTGCTGTACTGAAGTACTAACCTGTACCCAAATTTAGAATGAAACTACACAATCACAGCTGGTAGGAAATACTCTCCTTCTGAATTCTGTGGTGTTTTAGGAGGGATGCATCTGCTAGCTTGCCTCTTTCTTCAGGATGAGTGTAGAGAGTGCTTCCTCCTTTCTCTAGTACTGCTTTAAGTCTTTCCATTTAGCACAATGCTTTTCAAAGTGGTATTGTAGGTATTATAGTGCTTCTTTCTGATATATGTTTGTTTTCTCTTGTGAGTTCATATAGTGTTTCTTATCATTAGCTGGAAAGTTTCATCTCTTTGATTAAGATGTCTTCATCATTGTTGAGTAATGCAACCATAAAAGAGTTATTTAGCTCATCTAGACCCATGAGAAGAAAGTCTTTGTTCCACAACTCCGTCATACATTTTGTGTGTCATATATACAATATGATGCTTGTAAATAATTACAAAAGGTATTATTGTGTTCTTCAGGAGAAAGGTTGGGGAAAAGACGGATGCCTTCTAAAGCTTCAAAAGTAAACAAAACAACTGTAATTCTATTTAAATTAGTAAATTGTATTTGTTACATGTTTGTATTACAAATTACTATTGCATTAGTAATTTTGTTTTAATTTCATTTGGTTAATGAAAAATAATGTCCAGGCTGGTACAGGAATTGCCTCAGATACTCTTGAGGATTTAGCCACTGAATACCGGGGACTGTCTTGGAGGTAAGTCTTCAGCCAAGGTGATGAAGAGATGTGTATTCTTTCCTGTAAATAATACTATTCTCTTCCACACGTTTTGGGTCTTTCAGCTGTTAGAAAGTTGAAAAAAAAGGTTGCTTCTCAGGCTAGAGTTTCTTGAGAACATGCATCAAGATCCAAGATTTGTCATAAAGGTGGCTTCACAGAAAATGTTTTCAGCAGTGGATTTTAAGCTAGCCTTTTGATTTCTCTCATGCTTTTATTTTTGGCTGTTTGCAACAGTTTGTATTTCTATGTCAGGATTTCAAGTTGGAAATCTACAAAACTGCTGAAAAATCACTGAAACAAACAAGTCAGATCTAGTTGGTTTTGGAACTTCTCAAGTTTTTTATTTCTGAACCTTTTATAGTACCATGGAAAACAGTTTATTTTACCAGAGGACATTTACCACATGCTGCATATAGCTGTAAAAGACTTAAGTTGTTTCATTGTAGTGATGTAGCTCAGTTGATGTTGACTGAAGCAGTTCTGTGCTGTACTAATACCTCTCTGTAAGCCAGGGTGTGGCCTCAGTATGTCCTCAGTCAATAGGAAAGCTGGAGATAACATGTCCATCTGCAGGAAGAAGGAAAAGAGAGTGAGGAGCTGCTGTTGAAGCTCTCTTGTCACCCAGGGACTGTCTGGTTTTGGTGTTGCCTTAAAGTGCCTTCATGAGGCTGGAGTTGGCCTCAAAGCTGGCCTACTAATTTCCAGAACTTAAGGGCTTGATCATTTGAGTATGCACCTATCTCAGGTATTTTTCTGCCACTTGGTGAATGATTGACCATACCCTTCAACATCTGCGAGATCATGCAATCCTTCTGACAAGCATCTTCACCACTGAAACTGCAGCCATTCTCCCCCACAGCATTTCCACTTTTGTCCTCTCCATATGTTGTGATATATTGATTGTTACCAAGTTAATCATTCTTTGCTCCTTCCCATGATGTGTGGTAGGTTTTCGCTTAACTTATTATCTGTATCCAGATAAGAGATGAATGACCGGGGTTTCTCTTTCTCATTTTAGTATTGGAGGAGATGAGTCGTTAAAGAATGTGACAACTCTACCTAGTAAGTAATTGCTTTGCTCAATATAATTGGCAAAATTGAAGAAACACAATGGACTGATTTCTGACATGTTTACAGAGACCTCTTAAGTATCTCAAAACTGGTTTAGTGTAATTAACAAGAACTACTTTTAAAAGAAACAGTATTCTAGGACTAAGGAATAAAACATTGCCTTCATCATTGAAGCTGAGAGGAAGCAGCTAGAAATTCCATTACTTTCTTTTCCCTTTTCAACTGCTTGGTGAGTGTTATTTGAATTTCAAAATAAGCTTGCTATGTCCATGCTTGTGATGCACTTAACATTTGCTTTTAATAAATATTCCATCACAGTTTTTTCCAAAAGAAATGTTTGCATAGAGTAGGCCTCTTTGGTAAATAAAGCTGCCTACTCATACATGTAACCTGAAGGGAATAATTTTAACTTTCTCTTCACTGAAACATGCAACTTTTCATAGCTCAGTCTATTGTGAATGTAAAGCCACTTGAGCTTCAGTTTGGATCAGCTGTAATAATAAAATCCCATTTGAAGAGGACCAGTAAACTGTCCTTTTATGTGTTGACCATTATTTTAAGCAGAATGTAACAAGAATATAATTAGAATAAACAATTAATTGATTCACTGGGTCTTATTACATTTGACAAAGCCTTCATTAAAATATGATTAAATTCAGTCCTTGAGATTAAGATAGTTTTTATAGTGTACAACATGGTCATGTTCACTCTCAGCTATGAATTATCCTGCCAACTTCCTTTTGGAAACTACTATGGAGAACGTGGTAGAACTTTATCAGAATCATGCATCTGAGGCTTTGTTCTTCACATTTGTCAATAGTATAAGATTTTGCACAGCTGTGAAGCAGACCAGATCTTTTAGCTGAAAACAAGTTACTGTTGGGCTGAAGGACCCTTCAGGCTTGCTTCACAAAGTCAACATTGTATGAATGAGAATTTTATTTTAGGCTTTAACCACTACGGCATGAGAGATTACTGCACACAATAGCCCTCAATTCTGCTCATCTTGTCCACTGGTGACAGTGCAGGGCACTGCAAGCACGCAGCTGTCTGAGTCACTGCCAGCCGGTGATCCCTCTCACCACTGCTTGGTGAATCCATCTAGTTGACTGGCAGCTGCAGCAGCTGTGCTGTGCTGTCAGAGAGGAAAACTATGGCAGTGCTGCTGTGTGCTAGTCCCTGTAGGCAGAGAGCAGATGTAGTCATTTTCCCTTCATTGCCATCTTTGTTTTTCAGACATCTTCCGAGAGTTCAATGTTACAATCATGGGCTATTCAACTGGCACAGGGAGTGAGAATGATTCCAACGCATTCCTTAACCAGGCAGTTCCTGGAGCAGAGGCTGAGTATGTAGCTTTTTGTTTTACATTTGTAGGTGATGGATGCTTCATCTAATTGCCTTTCAGCTGTCTCATGTGCTGTCACAACTTGCTCTGAAGAGCAAGCAAAACCAGTCTAGTTGAAAATTGGCTCAAAACCTGTTAAATGTATTTGTTTATTTCATAGCAGAACTTTCAAATGAAAGTCCTAGTTATGAAATCCACGAACAAGAAACTGGCAGAAACTGTTTGGTGGTTTCTACTCTTCCTCTTCAACATCTATTAATTTATCCATTTATCTGTCAATAAATCCCTGAGAACATGAATGTTTTCAGAAATTGAGCATGTAGTGAATTGATAAGGAGAAACTGGAGTAAAAGTAGATTAAATCTTCCATAATTCTGGCTTCAGCTTTCTGGATAAGGAAGCAACAGTGAACAAGAGAGAAGCGAGGAAAAAACAGCCTCAGTCTAGAATATTAAGAGAATTGCTAATGGTCATACATGGGTTTTGGTGCATTGCAGACCTGGTGCAGTTGCAGCCAGTTCTGCCAGAATAAAAGGGATTGTAATGTCTTGCAGTCATTTGACTTTGGCTCTTTGCTTTTAGTCACACCTGGGAGGCTGTATAGTTGTTTTCCTATACTGCTTATCCTAGAAATCCCTGGATACTTATTGAAAGTCAGTGCTGTTTAATTAACAAAACAGATGGCTGCTTGAATTCAGTCATAGTTTGGGCACAGGTTCTGGCAGACCATGCCCAGATTTGACATTGTGAATTGATATTACCCAGACCTTAATTTGTTTGTTTAAAGAAAAATTCATCTTGCTTCCCGAAGGGGTCTTGGAATTGAAGTTCAGAAGCCAAGCGAGGTGTTTGAGTTTGCTGTATCTAAGCAAAGATTGTTAGGATTTATCAGGGGGTTTTATTGCTCTCTTGAGCAACTTCTGACTCGTTTGAGCAATTTCAGTAAATGCTTGGATTTCTTGTCAGAATAGTGTGCTAGGTGCCCTTCTATATCCTACTGCCCCCATAACTGAGGGAAGGCATTTGGTGATGACTAAACATATTTGTGTATGTCAGTGAGATGTGCATCAGCCATTAATGAGAATTTATTAACATGCTTCTGTATGCAGCATATATCCAGATTACCTTGAAAGAATGAGATAGGTGCCTGTCTTGTATTCTGTATCAGTTAAATCCTAAACAGGCTTTTTGGAGTGGTGGGAGGACTTGAAACAGGACACACAACCTCTTAAGTCACCATTATGACTTAAAGCAACTTGCATCAGCAGCAACTGAGGCGTTAGTATTAGATAGTTATTTGTTAGCTGTATGAAATGAGTCAATGGATGTTAGTCTAATGAAGAATTGCCTACTTCATCTATAACAATTAGTCTTCTCTCTTCCCGTGCAAGCAACTGGACTGGATAAACATGATGAACTGGAGCTATCCTTGTTTCGTAACCATATTTTGTAAACATTCAGCAAGGAGATATAGACAACAATTATGCCAGATTTCTGCTTGTGTTCTATTGTTTCTCTGTCTCATAACTCTCTGTAGAACGCTCTGAGATGCTTCTTTTTGGGGTTCTGTTCTGTCGTGTTTTGGCTCTTGATGTACTTGAGAAGAA